CAGTATCGTCTATGATAAAAAATGGTACATTAACATATCCTTTTTTGATGGTGGAATTATTTTAAACCAAAAGGTATTTTTCATAGAAATAACTTTCAAAAGTATTTATAGTCCTTGAATAGATATGGGCTGAGTGAGGGAGAGGGCAAAGTATAGTTAATTGACAGTAGTGCACCTAATTCAGGGTTTAAAATATTCAAGATAATCCACACATTGAAATGTGAAAATGAGTTATAAATATTTTTATTTATAGTTTATACAGTCTCAAGTGCACAGAGGGCTTTGGAAATTTTCCTGATGTAACTTCTTCACTAGAAGTTGACATTTAATAATAGGAGCACATGCATTTTTCTCTAATTATCGTTTGATTTTGGTGAGATTATGAATTCCTAATAAATGAAGGCACAAAGTAATTTGAACCCAAAAAATCTAAATCAGCTAAACCCAGCTAAATCAGGAAGCTTCAGTGAAAAGACCTTTCAAGGTTTATATATATACATATATATATTTGTAATGCAAGAGAAGAACAAGTCAAGGATGATTTCTCTTTTTTAAGAGAATATACTTCCTATAATGCCACCAGTTACCTTTGTCCAGACTTCAAATGATTCAAACAAAGCATACATAATAACAAGTACATAGTCTTATCATAAATCCTTGAGTCCAGATGTGTTATGGAATTAAGAATTTTTCAATTTCAGAAAGAGAATACAGTAGTGCATATATGGTCTGTGATGTAATACTGACTTTTTTTTGCAGCAAAACGTTTGAATAGTTTCACTAGGAGCATAAGTAAAGACTGTAAAGAACCTTGCATCAATTCAGGTCAGATTTAACTGCCAAATGAGTGTTGGTGCCATGCTTGCAAAAGACTTTTTACCCTTTTTAAATTTTAGAATTGTAGATGAGGGATTGTGAACCTGCATTTTGTCATCTGTTAAATATTTTAATTTAACATTTAATGGCATATATATCCCGTGTGTAGCAATTATATAAAATATAATTGTTATTTGATGATTTATAGTCATCAAATAACCATAATTAAATCGTTCCTGTAATGCTAAGTGGAAAAATGAGCTTCTAAATCTTGACATCTTTTTGTATATATCATTGTTTATGTTGAACAAATTCCTTAAAATGGGTTCAGGGATTACAATTTTTATACAGTATGCTACTCGTAACTTTCCGGAAGGTTTGTGTGAGTTTACAAGGTCACTAGGATGAATATGCCAATTTCCCTGTACCCTCACAAGGAATGGGTTGGGTATAATCATTTATCTTAAAAAAAAAAGCAGGGCGGGGGAGTTGGTGCTGCTTTAGATAATACTAGTACGTTCATCTTAAGGTTACTTTATCTTTCATTTATTTGGCCATTAGTTAACAATATGTGGATTTTTGTGTAGTTGAACTTCTGTTGTTGACTTGGATGTAGAAGGTGTTATTTTCTCTGAAGCAGAGCTCCCTTGACCTAGGGTCCCTAAAAAGATAAGTGTCAGTCACCACAGCGTGGCCCCTCGGGGTCTGCACCTTAGCCAATTGTAGAAGTATCTACAAAACATTTGTTCTTACATGGTCTTGGCTTAGTTTATCTTCATCATAGATTCGCTATTAAAGAATAAACTCAGTGTTTGCCTGTAGAGGGTAAGAGAAAATTGGTAGAATGCCTGTGGTAGCGAATATTAGAAGTCTTAAAAATGTGTATACTCTTTGCCTTAGTAATTCTGAGATCACTAAGACATAATCCAAAAACATATAAAGCTGTATGTTCAAAACTGTTTATCACAACATTACTTCAATGCTTTTTTGTGACAAAAAGGAAATAACTCAAATACCCAACATTAAATTAATGGTTGTATTTAAATCTTCTGCGTATAAATACGAGGGATTATTATGTGACCATTAAAATTAAAATTTACTTAAATAGAAAAAATCAGTGTGCAAAGTTGTCTCTAACTTCAACGATGTTAAATATACAAAAAAAGAATTATTGGAAGGAAGTATCCTCAGATGTTGACTGGTTATCTGTGAGTGGTAGAATTAATGATCATTGCCTGTTTCCTTCTTTGTACTTTTTTCTAATTTTCAAATTTCCTTAAGTAAATTTATATTCTAAATTCAGTAAAAAAAAAAAAAAAAAAGCCATAAATGCAGTGCATAATACTACCAGTCAAAAACATTTTTGAGATGTGTTAAATTTCATTTAAAATATTTAACATTACATAAATATTCAAATATACACATTACCCAAAGCTTAACGGTTTTGTTAGTCTGACTCATACGTAACTAGAGTAGACTGTCTTTTATCTTGTATTTGTCCAGGCGATTCTTACGTGTATACTTTAGTGTAACAGAATTGGTGATGTGTATTTGGATTTTATTTTTTAAGTGCTTTAAATGTAGAACTTCATTTAGGTTGTACAAACAACCCTATAAGTAAATATTGATGTCATTATTTAATGATGAATCCTAGTATCCCTTTTACCTGTGATGTTATCCATCAAAAAATGAAAATATTTTTTGACTAAAGTGGGTGATACATGTACAATATCCATACAGATTTGACCAAAATAATCCCTTCATTTATCCTTTTCCTTTCTCGTAAAAATCGTCTTTGATACTAGGCATATCTTAATACTGTACCAATATTCCAGGTCCAGAAAAAAAGCAAAATCATTTTACTGTTACGATCATGAGGAAATCACAGACACTCCCACTCATCGTCACTACCACATAGATGCACACATATGTACCCCTCCATGATATACTTTAAGGCAGCAGTTTTCAAAGTGTGGTCCACGGACCCCGGGGATCTGGGTGCCCTTTCTAGGGGCTCTTTCAGTTCAGAACGTGTCATAGTGATACCGAGATGGTATTTCCCTTTTCCCTGTGTTGGCACCTGGAGTGGTGGTGCAGAACCACAGTGGGTGAAAGTAGATGAGTGCATTGGCCCCAGACTCTACTCCTTGTATTCTTCACTGCCCTGCATTTGTAATAAAAAAAAATTAAAAATACATCCAGCTTCACTTAACAGTAGCCTTGATTAAGCAGTGAAAATTATTAATTATATTAAATCTCAACCCTTGAGTACTCATCTCTTTAATAGTAGTCAAATGACAAAATGGGAGGTACGCTAAGAACCCTCCTGCAGCATACTGAACGGGATGATTGTCTTGAGGGAAAGAAGGCACTTGAGCAGCTGGTTGTGTTCTGAGCTATGCTAGCCACATTTTTCGTGGAACACCATTTTTACTTGAAAGAACAACTGACTTATTTAGACTTGGGCAATTGGCAGATATTTTTTAGAAAATAAATGAAGTGAGCCTGTCACTTCAAGGAAAACAACAGTGTTTGTTGTCAGTAATAAAATTTGAACTTTCAAGTAAAAGTTAGACTTTAGGAAAACTTTCAGTTTGACAGTTTCCCAATACTCAAGATTTCTGATAATGTCGATGGGGATATTAATGGAATATGATTGTTTATTTTGTATAAAGAAATGTGTGGATATTTGAGAAATCTGCATAACTCAGTGACCCAGTATGTTCCAGATGATCAGTGTTTAATGTTACAAAATCACACGTGGGTAAAAGAGCCATTCAAAGGTCAGGATAGAACAGTGGATTTTTTTAATAGAACAGTATGAAAATTTATTGATAAGGTTTCAGATTTCACAGTGTAACTAGCCTTTAAGAAACTACCACTTGTCAAGTTTTGATGTAGTAACAAAGAAGAATATTTACAACTATCTGAATAGGCTATTAAAATATTCCTCCCTTTTCCAACTACATTCCTGTGTGAGACCATATTTTCTTCATATACTTCAACCAGAATAACCTATTGTAGCACTTTGAATGGTGAAGCGGACATGAAAATTCAGCTGTCTTCTCTTAAGCCATACAAAAATATTGATGTTAACAAGTACTGGGTTTATTATTGATATTTTTTAATGAATTGATTAATTTTTTTTTTAAAGTCTCAGTTTTACTTTCATTAGCAAAAACTGGTAAGTATCCGTAGCCATAACCTACATAAATGAACAGGAATCCTGGTGGTGCAGCGGTTTAGCACTTGGCTGCAGATGAAAGGTTGATGGTTCAAACCCACTGGCAGCTCCGTGGGAGAAATACCTGGCAGTCTGCTTCCGTAAAGATTACAGTTTAGGAAACCCAATGGGGCAGTTCTACTCTTATCGCCATGGGGTCCCTGTGAGTCAGAATCAACTGACGACACCCAGCAACAACATAAATAAAAGTTCTTTGTGATCCTCAAGAATCTGAAGAATAAAGGGGCCCTGAGGCCAAAAAGTTTGAAAACTGCTTCTTTAAGGTCTTGTGACTCAGAGTATGGTCCTAGGCCTCACCTGAATTTCAGAAGCTGGCCCCACCCCAGACCTACTGAATGAGAACCTGCAGTTGTAAAAGATCTTCAGGTAACTCTTGCTATGCATAAAGAAGCACTGCCTGCAGGAACTTGTGGCGGCAGCTCCAGGAATGGGAAATGCAGCTTGTAGTAGCAATCTAGCAGGGAAAGTGAAAACGTAGGGAGAGAATTGGGAAACTAAGACGGGAAGCCCTTCTTTCCCCAGATGGCTCCCCTCCAACCTGTCTGTCCTCTGGTCGAGTATTTCCTTTTAGGAATGTTTTCCCATATAGTTGAGGTGTTTGGAATTGTCTGGAGGTCTAACAGATAGAAATCAGGATCTCGGCTAGAATGGGCCACTGAGGAAGGAAGACCATCTCCCAGACGTGAAGCCTGCAGCGTTATCCAAACACCTTCCAAGCAAGGCATGTCTGTCCGGGTTATACTTGTTACTGGGATATTTTATACGGTGTTCTCACCTCATTTCTGCTTTGTTTCTAGTCTCTGAAGATAATCACCGTTTGCTATAAAGTTGATAGAAGAATGTAGACAAAAAAGAATCCCACTTAAATTTGGGTATAGATTTTATGTTTGTCTCAACACCAGTTTTCACCTTTTAATTGTATCTTCCCTTTGGTCCATAGTTACATGAAAATGCATGCATTTGTGAAATTCACTGGGCTTTTCAGATTGAGCATTTCATGGCAGAGGCAGAGTTCTTATGTTTTTACAAGAGTTTGCTCTTCAGTCTGAAATTGGTGACTAAGCAAGTATGTTTGGATTAAGTGTTCAACCAGACAGTATAATATAAACTGTTGTAACAAGAGCTTCTATTTCTAAGCCCTAATATGTATTCTTTTTTTTTCTTGTTTTTAGGGCGAATCTGTAAAATATTTCCTGGATAACTTGGATAAACTTGGAGAGCAAGTAAGTTTGTAAACTGAATGTTTATATGTTTATTGCCATTTGAAAGCAGCGCTCAGGATACTGATGTTTTTACTGTAGGGCAGCTTGTCAGAATATTTAGGAAAATCATGTATTAAGCTGTCTGCTTTCTCCTTTTTTCTAGTTGTAGTATCCTGTCTTTTTCTGCTTTCTGATTAATAGCTAAAAATATTTAATGATTTTTTTTTTCCCCAAAATGAAAAAATATGTTTATTTTTCAGTTGGGAGCCTGTCCTTTTTTTTCTGTCCGCTGTTCAGGTCACTGCAGTTTCCTTCAGAAATGCCCCAACCACTGTTTCATGAAAGTAAAACCGTTTATGAAAGAAGTTTGTGTTTGAAAATGAGATTGCACATTATCTGTTATACTTCAGTGTCTTTTTTTTCCTTGCAAGTAGAAACAGAAGGAACACAGTGGGTTGGATGATTTCAAAATGTTGGCAACAACATTTTCCAGTTCAAGACCCTTCGTGTTGACAGTGTAGGAGGGCTAGATTCTGCAGAGCAGCTGAAGCGACTTCACGACGTAGGGGAAGGAGTCGCCGTTGGAGAGTTTACTGTTTTCCTGTAGGGTGTTCCTCAGAGCCAGCAACTCTGGTGATGTGGCTGCCGCTGGTTTCCGGGTCCTGCGGCCGGGGAGCAGCTCCCTTTGTCTGTTCTACAGATTGGACTTCTGCGGAAGAGTTTGTTGGAAGAAAGGTTTTCGCTGCGTAGGAAATATTTGAAAGCCATTGCCCTAGAGTCATTTGTTACCTCCTAAATCTGTCAGAGTTGTTTGCTTCCCCTTAAAGCACATTTCTGTTATAAATTTTAATATGGTCTTTGAAGAGGTTTAATATGTTTTTTAACTTTCTATATACACGTAACTGAGGGAAGGCACAAAGTGAAACCTATTGCAGGTAGAAAAGTAGCCTAATAGTGTATCTAGGACATGTGGAGAAAGTACCTTCTTTTTGCTTTGCTAGGTTCATCTTTGCATTTTCCTTTACTTTTCAAAACTACATTTGCCTGCCTTTAAACCAGTATGTTTCCTAGACTCAGGATCCCTCAGATACGGAGATCTCCCAATTTATATATTTTTTCTCATTTGGTCCACATCAGTAAAACTTTTTATTAAGGCCTATTTCATTAGCATTTTTCCCTCTTTTCGGATTCTAAGCCTTAAAAAGTAAATTTAGGCCAAATGGAGAGACATCTTAGTGAATAAACTCTAATTTTATAACAGTTATTTCATATTTTCCAATCCAAACCATGCTGACGTGACCTCTTCTCAATTCACCCCTCCAGACAGACCTTCCCTGAGCACACCATTCAAAGTAGGTCCTCTCGACTCTTAATCTCAGCTCTTGCTTTTTTTCTTCATTGCACTCATAAAGTGGTGATTACTACTTTATTTATAGGTTTACTTGTTTTTTACCCACCTCTTTCTACGAGGACTTTACCTCTTGATTGTGAACAGTTGAGTTCCTGCTGCCTAGTGACAATGCCTGGCACACAGTAGACCCTCCACAAATAGTGTCGACATTGAAGCTACTCCTGGAGTGGCTTTTAGCCAAATAATAGATTAGCTTATAAAATAAACAGTATCACCTGTGCGTAATGCGTCCCTTACACAAGCAATTATATGAGACCAAATGGTCAGCATTTACCAAAGGCAAAGATAAGAAGGCAAGAAGGGGAAGGGAAGTTAGATCAATGGAAACAGAACAAACAGTGGAAATAATGAGAATGCTGACACAGTTGTGAACATTGTAACGAATGTCACGGAACAATTAGTATAAAAATTGTGAAGTGGGAACCTAATTTGCTGCGTAAACCTTCACCTAAAACACTAAAATATTTTTTTAAAAAGTTCTGTATACCTTTCACTCCGCTTCTCTTAAATGCAAAATTTTACGTAACCGTAATGCATTATCAAAACTCATAAAAAAGAAGCAGCAGCTTTTGATTGAGTGGTTCTAGGCCAACTCCAGTCAATTCATAGTAGCTGCTTAGAGTGCTGTGTTGAGAACAATTCTTAGGCCACACCTGGGATGAAAAGGAAAAAGTGCTGTGCTCAGTAAGTAGTTACAAAGGAGGGAAAAACAAGCCTGAGTTGGAGTCCATGGGTGGGGCAGATGTTTAAGGGATGGCCTGCTAACCAAGAGGTTGGCAGTTTGAACCCATCAAAAGATGCCTTGGAAGAAAGGCCTGGCAGTCTGCTTCCGAAAGGTCATAGCCTTGAAAACCCCGTGGGGTGTGGTTCTTGGCACTCATGGGACCGTCATGAGTGGTAATCAACTCGACAGCAACTGGTTTGATTTGATTTGGTTTTGTGCTGTGTGTCTGCCATCCATTTTGTGCATGTTGGACAAGTGATATGACTACATTCGCTGCTCCATATCTTAGTGTACTACCAGGGCCATTGAATCCTCGCTTGTGCTGAGCCCCGTGACCCTCTGGGAGGAGAGCAGCTCAGGGGTCAAGGACGTGGACTCTGCAGCCAGACCTCCTGGGTTCAGATCCCAGCTCCATCATAGACTGGCTCTGTGCGACCTTGTTGTTGTTGTTACTTGCCATCAAGTCATTTCTGACTCTCTAAACCTTTGTTTCTTCATCCATAACGTGAGTAGAGAAAGAGAACCGGCCTCATAGGGTTTTGAAATAAACCTGTCTGATGTTTAGAATGGTGCCTTGCACATAGTAAATGCTCAGTGTTAGCTGTTTGGGTCTTTGATCACTGTATTTAAGGATCCAGTCTAGTCAGAGAGACAAAACCGACATACATAAAATAAGCAGAGGACAATTAAATGATACTGATCATGAAGATAATATTAGTTCATAAAATGGAGAGAGATGCTTTGGCTGGAGAAATTGGAGGTGCTCAGTAAGAGGAAATGAACCTGAACTGCCCGCGATGGGTTGGATTTAGATATATAAAGAGAAGGTGCAGCACACCGAGATGAGAGACCCTGCATGTGTTTAGTTTTAGGAAGCACATCTGTCTGATGAAGGATACATGAAGTTCTGAGCTCTAACTGATAACAAACAGATTTTTAGAAGGCAGTAGCATGGGTTTTTATACATTGTTCATTGTACTTGCACTGTTGGGTAAGTGAGGGAATGCGTAAGGTATCAAGAAGTGAAGCTCTGTGCAGGCCTTGATGCGAGGCCTTGTGGTGAGCTTGCTCGTGCAGAGCAGAGGCTGTCAATTCCAGAAAACGGGGTAAGGAGGGCCCTGAAAGCCAGTCAGCAGCGTTTGGATCTGATGCATTGAAACCCCACTGTAAGTTCTGGAGCCAAGACACAGTAGCTTAGCCTGGGAGAGGCTGAGAGTGGCTTGGAGGTGGATCCAAGAGGTGTGAGATCTTGGGGCAAAGAAACTAGTGAGGAGATGGTGGTCCACACCAAAGATGATAAAAACTGGGGGCACTGGGGATAAGGACGAGAGGGGAAGGGGAAGGGAGAGAGTCAAAGGAGTGACAGGATATGATACAACAGAAGATGACAGGGAGGGGGCTGCCCCAGGGGATTGGGAGACTTCAAGAAGCTGGTGTTGGTGCTGGGGCCGGAACCAGAAAGGAAAGGAAATTGATTGGACTTAGGGGGCTTGGTGAGGAAGAAAATGAGTTTTCTTATTGACTGTGTTGTGCTTGAATGTCAATAGGCATGTCGAGGGCAAACAGCTGGTGAGCATTTAAAAGTGAGAGATTCGAATGGAATTTCACCTGCTATCCCAGCCTTACGTTTCCCCTCTCTCCTCGGGCAGTGGCTGCGGGCAGGAGCAGTCATGGTAGACGCAATAGCAACAGCTGACACGTAGACTTTGTAGACTCAGTTCTTAAGCAGTTTACTCATTTAACTCATTTCACCCCGACAGGAACCCTATGGATGTTAATCTATATTTTATAAGTGAGCAGATTGAGACAGAGAGGTGAAGTGAATTGCCCAACGTCATACAACTAGTATGCAGTGAGCTGGCTGTAGAATTCACACTCATGATCACTACACTATACTCTGCCAGCCCATTCATCACTTGGTCACATTGTCCTAGTCCTGTGCTTCATGTATGTTAGTCTTCAGCTCCCTAACTAGATTGTTAGACAAAAAAAAACTTTTTTTTTTTTTTTGAACTATAGAATTAGGAAATGAAAAAACAAGAAAGAAATAGCCCAGTGCTGGCATGTTTCTGGCGAGTGGCACACGTGTGTGGTGCTGCGGTGCCGCCTTTCTGGAAAGCAGTTTGGCACTGAGTGTCCAGTGTCATCAAAATGTTCACAGACTTTGACCTTATAATCCTGTTCCTGGTTATTTAGTCTCAGAAAATAGTGCAGAAGAAGAATGTCACATGCATGAGAATTTTGCTTGTAGCAAAAAAACTGGAAACAACCTAAATCCTATTATTAACAGCACTCCTGTTCAGTGTTGCCAGAAAGCTGTGGTAGAAAGAATACTAGGCTGGGAAGACAGCGCCGGTTCCATTGCACACGGAAGTGTACTGTCGGGGTAGCCGGTGACTCGTGAGAACAGCATCTTCCATTTGCCAGGGTCCTAGTTCACTGATCCCATTCGCAGAGAAGAGCTTACTTGATGTTTGCCACAACCCTCCGAGGCAGGCTGGCCAGGCGTCACCATCTCCGTTTCACAGGCAAAGGGATGGCGTTCGGAGGAAGCGACTAGTGGTGAGCTCCTGGGTCAGTAAATGAGAAAGCGGAACATAGCTGCTCAGTCTGTACCTGGAAACCAACCTAAGAAGTGCCCTGAAGTAAGTCTGGTTCGTTAGTTAGAGTGGAGTCTTTCCCACATGTCATACAGCAGCAGTGATGACACAGAGTGACCCAGTGTACAAGTTCCGAGTCATTAAGGGGGATCCACTGTAAAGGGACATTTAGGATGGACTGGAGAGAGGTGGGCAGAACCTTGAACCGGGAAGTGATCCTCATGAATTGGCATGTCAGATCCTGTTGGTTTTAACAGAGGACCAAGGAGCAGGTATGGAAAAGGTGACTGTGTGACCAGTAAGGAGATCACTCTGGCTGGAGCGCAGAGTAGGTAAAGTGAGGTGTGGTATTGAAGATGGACATACAACGGGGTGGGGGGAGACAGCAAATTTGATTGGTATTCCAGGGTTGAGGAAAATCGTAGATGCTGTCATTTGTGTGAACTTTGAACCAGACTTTGGACACTACCATTTTAATGTATCTTGGCATTTTATAACGAGGATATTAATAGTATTGACGCTTTAATGTTATCAGGAAATGTTAAAAAGATTATTTTGTTGACATACCATTCACCAGACCAGTTAATATTACATTAAAATCTCTAATAATTACTTAAATTACTAAGAATAAAACAATGTTTTTCTTTTCTAGGATTACATTCCATCACAGCAAGATATTCTGCTTGCCAGAAGACCCACCAAAGGCATTCATGAGTATGACTTCGAAATTAAAAATGTTCCTTTCAAAATGGTTGATGTAGGGGGTCAAAGGTCAGAAAGGAAACGTTGGTTTGAGTGCTTCGACAGTGTGACATCAATACTGTTCCTTGTTTCCTCGAGTGAATTTGACCAGGTGCTTATGGAAGACCGACTGACCAATCGCCTTACAGAATCTCTGAACATTTTTGAAACAATCGTCAATAACCGGGTTTTCAGCAATGTCTCCATAATTCTTTTCTTAAACAAGACAGACTTGCTTGAGGAGAAAGTGCAAATTGTGAGCATCAAAGACTATTTCTTAGAATTTGAAGGGGATCCCCACTGCTTAAGAGACGTCCAAAAATTCCTGGTGGAATGTTTCCGTAACAAACGCCGGGACCAGCAGCAGAAGCCCTTATACCACCACTTCACCACTGCTATCAACACGGAAAACATCCGCCTTGTTTTCCGTGATGTGAAGGATACAATTCTTCATGACAACCTCAAGCAGCTTATGCTACAGTGATATACAGAAGACTTGCTATTTTAATATCTTTTTTGTGTTTTTGATTGTTTTCTGTTTGTTTTATTTTGTTTTTTAAAATAGCTGTTTACAACAGGAATTAGAAAAATCTTGATTCTTTGTTTAACTTTTTGGAAATCGTAGTCCCTCTTCTGTGGACTTTGGTTTGTGGCTGAGAGCTGCTGAATAACGCATCGCCAGTATCTGCTGAAGTTTTAGGCTTGGATCTGTCTCAGTACGGCTTCCACTTGAGTCGAGTTGTAATTTCCTGGCAGACCTCAGACTATAGGTGTATTTCAGGCTTTCCATTCTTCCGCTTTCCAAACTGACTTCTCCTGTAGTGCCAAGTATAGAAGGTGTCCTTAAATATTTGCAGGTATGAGGTTAAGAACAAGCAGAGTAAGTAAACTGTCTTTTGTCTGCCTTACACATAGCAGTCACACGTGTTGCCTATCTTTATGGTGACCTCCTGTTTTGAAAGGGCTATTGAAAGAAGTTTGATCTAAGGACTGTCGTTCTGTAGGTTTACACAGATTTAGCCTTCATCTTTTTTTAATTGCTTGTACACCCAGTGGTTATTTTGTTTCTGAAATTTCTGTGGTTTCTGAAGGTGATGTTCATAGTGTTTTAAAGTTTACATACGGATTTCTGGTCTGATGCTAAGTGAGTTCACAGATGGTACGGGGCAGCAAAAGGCAAGCAAAGCTATATAGTGTTTTGATCAAAAGTAAAGAGGGAAATGTAATTTGCCTTTTGTCTATTTAATTATCCTGTCGTTAATGTGCCATATGTGAAACATTCCGGCCCTAGCAGCAACTGAACACTGCAAGCAACTCGGTAGCAGAACTTTCTGAATAAACATACCCCTTCCTAGACTATCTGTTCTGTAAGCCTTCACCTGAAGTACAATAAAATATTTAAAAAAACAAAACAAAACAAAAACATACCCCTTCCAGAGTATCGTGTGTCTTACCGTCAAACGTTTAAATCCTGTCTCAGATATTTGGGTCTTTACTGTAGGAAATCATGTCACCATCACAAACGTCTCTCTCTTGCTCTCCTGTCCATTCCTGTCAACTCCAGACTGACATTTATGGGATTTTTTTCCCCCTCCTTTATTTGGAGCTTGGCAGGGGCAGTATTTTCCTGTCGAATGTTCCAGAAGGCATCATTGTCATTCTTGGTGTCTCTAAAAGATACAGTACATGCATGTTTGTATAGTTATTGTTCATGAAATGCCAGGTTTCTTGAGGTACATTTTAAATGTTTTAAGGATGCTTCTAAGGATAGGTAGTAATTTTTTAGTTCACACCTAAAGGTGATTACATTTGGCCACCCCTCACTGCTTACCAAGTTGGAACGTACCCATGAAGTAACTTCATGATTACAGATACATTTATGGTGAACTCATCAGAATGGCTGGTTTGCAGTTGTAAAAATACTATCTTGTAGGTTGTATGTAGTGTTAGAATTGGGTTTAGAGAAACAGATGTTCAAGGCTGGTGACAGTTTGAAGAGTGTGACAGCTTTTCTCCTTTTCCTGAAAATTGTGATTAAGACTGTGATATCTGCCACTTTACTGTATAGCTGACTGTTCTCAGGTATTTTATTGGTTAGAAAGTCCTTGAAAGATTGGTTAACATTATGGATCACCCAGCCTTTCCAAGACAAGTTGTGTTTGGACTGTTCTACTGCTGGGTATATGGCTAGGGCTTTTCAGTGAGCTAACCAGGGGTTGTTCCTAACATACCTTCTTTTCTTGCGTTTTAAGTTCCATCATCATCACATACATAGGAACGTCCAGTGTTTTATGCATCGGTAATACATGAGCTCCGAACATGTAGCCCACATCATAATGCAAGTGTGAATAGTATAGTTGATGCATGTTTGAATAATCAAGTGCTTCTTGCCAAAAAGAATACACTGTTGAAATTCTTAGGTTTAGCATCATTTCTGTGCTAATGAATATCACTGAATATGTACACAGTAACATTGGACTTTTCAGTGAAGAGTCTACATGTAAATTTAGCCAGTAGTTTTATCAAATTTTCAAACATTATTTAACTCCAGTGAAGGCTAAAGTAAATTCCCTATATAAAAAAGAAACTCAGTCTTATTTAAATTATATTTAATATCTGTAGCATGAACCGTACATACTGCCGGACAAAGCGGAAATCACCAAGTTTCTCATTTTGACTCCCACTAAGAAATGTTAAACCAAATACATGTGGTATTATTTTTGGACTTTGTGTTTCTCTTCCTTGATGTGTGTGATGTCCGAGTCAATATTCTTTTAAAATAAAATCTGGAAAATATTTTGAGGCAGTAAATTACATATATTTACTGCCGGATGTGTTTAGATATCCAGTAGAATGGTAAGGTTCAGTATAAAGGCTTTAGACCACATTTTTATATACTGTATTTTTAAAACATTTGAAGGCGTCTTATACCTATAGCATGAAAATCAGATCTGTCTGAAATACCACAGAATAAGGAGGGAGATGAAATTTAGGAACAGAATTGAAAGGGTGCTTACAATTTTCACTATGCCAGTCCCCCCGCCCCCATCTGTAAAAAAGTAATTTAAATGTAGTAGTCTTTTGGTATGTTCAGTTTTCTAAATTTTCATGGTTATGTTTTAGAATAAAATGTGCCTAATTCTATACTACATTCTGTTCTTAAGCCTGAATGCCTTCTCTCTTAATTCTCAAGAAATATCACTTAAGTGTCTTCATTGACCTTGAAAAAATTTATACCAGACAGAGTTGCCTTATAAATCAAAGAACAACACAAATTTAGGCCTTGATTTTTTAGGGGAAAGGGTTTTGTCGAATGTTTTCTGAAGATCTAAGTAATTCAAGGTATGTCTTTGACACTTAAGCATTAATTTTTAGTAACTCTAGAACTGTTGCTCTCTACCAAGTATTTTATTAAATTTAAATCTTCATTTCCGTTTTATTGTCTGGAAAGGACACTTGAGAGCTAGAGAGTAACTGCAGCCAAAGAAGGCAAAGTGGAGTGAAAAAGATCCTTATTTTTGGTTTTCTTTTAAGAAGTTACATTGGCATGTACCTTACATAGAGAAGGACTTCTGGTTCACCTTTGAAATCCTGTTCAGTTCGGTGGCTGTGGATGGTTTAAAGTAGAAGCTTTAAAGTTACCTTAATCCAGAAATGAGTATAAGTATTGATTTAGATTCAGTCAAAATCCTATGCCCTATAGTTTTTTGTAAGCAAGAATGGATAAACCTTAACTTCCAATGTATACCCAAATATTTGTATTTATGCTTTTGATAAAATGTATTTTCAGCGTTAATACACATATCTGGTTATGCCTTATTTATATGAAGAATAAAGTTACCAAGATACGCTCTATTATTATGTCCAAACAGTCACATCACATTTAAGAAGCCCTCAAATTGGTGTTTTCGTTATATAATGATACATTTGAAGCAAAATTCTCTCCATTGCAATTTGTACTAATGTTATTTCTGTATATGTGAGTAACGAGAAGGCTAAATACCAGTGTTAACTCTTAATTTCTTGTTTGAATCCATGAAGTCATGTCTATAAAGCCAATGAGACATTTGTAACAAACCCCCTAATAAATCTAGAGAAAGGCACTCTGTTACTTTTTCATTTATTAGAGTTTTATCTGAGGAATCACTGACAGAAATTTTGCACGTCTTTTTCAGTTGGAAATCTGGCTTAAAACTGGGTCACTTTGCCTCTCTTTCCTGTCATTTCAAGAGGTTAGACTAATCCCATTTGCTACAGATGATCCACCCATGTTTTGTACTGCTTTACTAGAAGTACTGATTTTTTTTTAATGATAGAATACAGGTTGGCTTCCCAATCTAGTAACCATGAGGAAGAGAGAGATTGTGAGTGGGTGTGTATATGTCTTCACGTCCTGAATAAAGCAAATGATACAGTACATACCCATTATTTAATGGTACGAGGTTAGGGCTTAATAAATTTATACTAGAGATTAAAGGATAAATCTAAACCTGAACATTTTAAGCAAGTTGGACTTGAGGACTTTTTCACGTACCATCAAGTAGATAGTAGCCGTAGGGTGGTGAATGTTCGCATCACTTGAAGTTCAGTGTTTGTACCACTAGTATTCTCATGTCTCCTTGGATGTGTAGTTAGCATTTAAATAAATGTGTTTACCTTGTGGCATTCAAGCCTAGCCGTCTTGGTTCTGATACCAGAGCTTATGTGGAACATGGATTGTTTTTAAAGCATTAATGATAGGGCAGTATTTTCTGGGTTAATAGGGGTTTTGTAACCCATCCAAATCCGCTGTTGATAACAATGGAAATTTCCAGACGGACTGAAGCACGCTAGGGCCCACTGTGCATAAATTTTCAGTCAGCGTAGTGAGTGTCACAATAGCAATGTGCTGCTTACGTGGAATGTGATTTTGGTTTGTATTTAGAAAGCTTGTTTATAATGTTTCTTGCCATAGTAAGTGATGAATTTGTCCTCAATCATGTCTATTTGATGGTACCAAGAAAAAAAGGGGTGGGGGCAAGTAGGGATTAATTCTTGGAAAATATATGTAACAATGCAACAAACTATGCCATTTACCTTTTCTTCACCTCTGACTTGAAGCAGAATCACAGTATGTTTTTAATGGCTTTTCTATACTGCTGTACTGTGGTGAGAGCTCATTTACCCCAAGAATCCTCATCAAAAAGTGTATTTTCTAACAACCTCATACTGTACCTAACATAACATGATTTGTATTAGCTCTGTTTAAAAGTATTGTGGCTTAGGTTTTTTTTTTTATACATGTCTTTTTATAACTTTCCAGGAACTAAGCACATTATCTGATCCTGTAAATTTCTTTTCTGTCAGTGCTTCAGTTCAGGATCGGCAATAAATTATTTCTAAAGGAGGTCTAAAAGTGGAAAGAACGGTTTGATTTTATAAAACGAGTTGCTTGTTCATTAAGCCTTTTTACTCTTGTACATAGTTCGCGAACATTTTGCCTCTTGCTATTAATATTTGCTTTGTAAAAAATTATTGACGTTTAATAAACATTTATAAACTGTTCAATCCTATGACATTATTTAAACTCACAGTTTGATAAATATAAAGTGTAAAGCCGATGGTTTAAAAGTTTGAAAGGAAAAATCTCATCTAGTGACTTAAGGCACAGAAATCTCTATTCTGACAGACCTCCGACAATACTTCACCTTACTATTAGCCTATAAACTTCCCCTTAGTAAAGATGGAGATGTGGACTTCTTCCAAGAAAGTTCATAGACACTTCATATGTTTTGACGTGAGAATAGGGAAAGGGGAACCGTTTCTCTTTCTGTCTGCTCCTCTTAAAATAGCTGAAACCATTAGGATGTATCTGGGCTCCTGTTTCCTGGCAGAAGTAATGCTATTTTGTCTATTGTAATTGAAATCGTGTTCACAAAACAAACCATGTTACCACTCATCTATACACTTTTTATTTTAAAATATTATTTACAGAAAAATTGCAAAGATAGTACAGAGTTCCCAATATTCCACACCCATTGTAATGATTTCTCCTGTTAACCTCTTAGCGTGGTACATTTGGCACAGTTAATGAACCAATATTGATACTTATATTATTAAGTCAATACGTTATTCAGATTTCCTTAGTTTCTCCTTTTCTGTTCCAGCATTTTATCGAGGACACTGTATTACATTTCATCATCGTGTCTCCTTAGGCACGCCTTGGCTATGACAGATTTGCACAGACTGTCCTTGTTTTTGATGACCTTGACAGTTTTGAGGAGTACTGGTCAAATATTTTGTAGACTGCCCCTCTATTGGGATTTGATGTTTTTCTCACGAGTAGACTGGGGCTAGGGGATGTCGAGACCACAGAGGTAAGGTACCAACCCCATCATAGCCCGTAGCCCACTCATCTTTTCCCTTGAAAGCTTCAGCTACATTAGCAGCTGTTAAGTAACTCCTAGCGTGTTTATCCCTTTTTTTAACTGGCATGTATGCATGTACTGAAAGATGTGCATCTACTTTTCTCCCCTCCCCCAAAGCAGAGGGAAGGGTTGTCTTCCCTGCAGTTGGAATTGCAAAGCAGATGTAAATGTCCGGAGGCCGGCGGGCTCCCTGGTTAGGTGACAGTAAGAGCTCCCTGCCTCTGTGGCAAAGGAAGATTCTGTTCTGGGCCTCGCCTTTAACATGACATTTCACTGTTGGTCCAAGAAAAATTAAGGCAGAAAAATTCGGACTTCATGTCTAAATACCTAAAAATCTGATTCTGGAAACCAGTCATTAAAGACTTTTTGGGCGAGATCTAGATCCGTTTAAGTTGTGGCTCAAATGGTTAAGCGCTGGACCGCTACCACGGTTCAAACCCACCCAGAGGCACCTCTGAAGACAGGCCTGGCAATCTGCTTCCAAAAAGTCACAGTCTTGAAAACCCTATGGAGCGCAGTTCTACTCTGCACACAGGGAGTCGTCATGAGGTGGATGGAATCAGCTTGAGTTCACCTGGACAAGTTGAAACTAAACTCACTTGAGCATTTGAATCCCCAAAACAAACTAAGAACCCCCTTAAAAAAATTTTTTTTTTCTTATGCTAGCCATGAGTCAGAATCTGTTCAAAGACAACTAACATCTTCATTATTAGAAACAAGGGAATATTCATCATTGTAAAAGGAAACAGTTAAAACTCATAACTATTGTCTAGCAAAGTATTTTGGCACAATCATGGTTAGTTAACAATCACATATCCTTGGCATAGGATGCTGTCTGAAGATGACCTGTTGCTGCTCACAATGTGGGTTGTTTTAAAAAGAGAGACTTTCTCGTCTCTTGGGAATGCATGAAACTGAAGGCTTATAGATTAAACCAAAGGTTCATTTTGGGGAAATTTGGAAAGCATCAAAAAACCAATGACCTCGGGCAGTGTTTTCAAATACCTGCTATAGTTTTTCCTCAGAAATTAGCAGGGCACCTGAAACACAGTATTGTGGTTGCAGTAAGGAGTATCTGTGAAAACAGTGTGCCACTGTATTTCCCAAGAGTTCCTTTTTAAATACACCAAGAAAACAAAAGGCTCAAACAAGTATTTGACATAAGCTAACTATTCAAGGCAGCTGTGTTAAGCTTCTGTGTTCACCACAAGAATACTGAGGGAAGTTGTGGCCAGAATTAACATTTATACTGAGTGGAGGAGTGTGTTGATTTTTCTTTGCCCCGTGAAGGTACATGGAAGGAAAACAAAAGCAGCGAAAACTTTTGAAAAGTTGATAATCCTGTTGTCATTAGTTCCATAGCAACTTGAGACTTAAGCTTGTTTTCCTGTCCCTGTTCAGCATTGAAGAATGGAGGGAACAAGCATGTAAGCTGAAAACTTTGAGGGCCAAACAATGTTGACCTTGGGAGAGAAAAAGTATAGTTGTTTCATTTTATCTTCCTGGTATCTTACATGGAAAAGCCCAGTTCTAGCAAGCTTTGTAAGACACAGCAAGATGGTTTATTTTATCGTCAGAGTGGTTACTCGAAAACTTTATCCTGGCGGGGGAGAAATAATCATAGCACCCATAGTTCAGCTGTATTGTTGAAATTACAGATAAAAACTGATTTTGTACAAGCACTCTCTTGACTCTTAGCAGGGTATAGTTTGAGAAAGAAGCCTTGGTGGTGCATCGGTTAAGCGCTTGGCTGCTAACCATAAGGTCGGTGGTTCGAACCCACTGGTGGCTCTGCGGGAGAAAAAACCTGGTAATCTGCTCCCATAAAGATTACAGCGTAGGAAACCCCATGGGACAGTTCTACTCTGTCACGTGGGATTGCTAAGAGTCAGAATGGATTCAATGGCACAAAACGACATCATTTGGGAAAGATGCTATAAGTCAATGTAAAAGGGGAATACATTCCAAATATGGGCTGGATGCCCGACTTTATGGAAATAATGGGCATAAAACTAGCTGAGGTATTCTATGCAGCCTAAAACCTTTCTAAAGGACGTAGGACAAAGCTCCAGTTCCCTTGCTTGGCAATCAAGGCATTCAGGTTCTAGCATCAAGTCCCCTTTCCAGCCAGCCTTCACTTCCTATTTCCTTCCTTCCAGCTTAACTGCTGGTTGCTATGGAGCCAGTTCAGACTCGTGGTGACCCCATGTGTGTCAGAGTAGGACTGCACTCCGTAGGGTCTTCAATGGCTGATTTTTTGGAAGTAGATTGCCAGGCCTTTCTTCCGAGGCGATTCTGGATGGACTCAAACCTCCAGCCTTTAGGTTAGCAGGTGAGTATTATTTCCCCCATGCCTCTTCTCACTGGTTCTCTTTGCCATTATTTCTTTAAGAAGAGAATATAGGATACTCCTGTGATTTTGTGGATAGGAACGTGGGTTTTGTATAATCTAGGATAATCCCCCATCTCAAGATACTCAATCATATCTGCAAAAACCTTTTTTCCAGGGATTAGGACACGGATCTGTTTTGACGGGCCATCTTTGAGCTGATACAGCCAGTAATGAAGGGAATGTTCCAGTAGCTGTGATTTTGTTCCTCCACTGCCTGTTTACTCTGCAGATGTGCCTGTCTCACCTTCACACTTCCCTGACAGCAAACACGTCATCTTTCCTTCCCAGCTCAGTTCTCCCGGCTGACTTCCTATTTCTGCCCACAATCCACATCATTTTCTCCATAGCCCACCTAAGAGCCATCTGTGACCTTCTAGCTCCTTCCCCTCCCTGACACCACCCCACCCACACTTTATATTAGTCACCAAATCTCTGAGCAGAGGGGAACTTATCTATCGTCTTCAATTCCCAGAGATGGAGCTCAGCCCTAGAGAGAGACAGTGACTTGCGATTCCATGGCAAGGCTGATAAAATTCTTCCTGAGGATGATGCTCCTTCCACCCTTTTATCTCCACCCTGCTGCCCCTGTCTTTGGCCCTGTCCTTGTCTCCTCTCATAAGACGAGAGACTACAGAAGCCTCACTGGCCTTCTCTGTCCAGTCTCCTCTTGGGCCAATCCAACCAGCGTCTCTTTCACTGCTTTTACTTACGTTGTTAGCAGCCATCAACTAACAACAAGTTGACCCTCAGCTCGTGGCGACCCCATGCAGAACGGAACAAAACACTGCCCAGTCCTGCTCCATCCCCGTGATCTGTTACCGATCAAACTGTTGTGATCCATAGGGTTTACAATGGCTGATTTTTGGAAGCAGATCACCCAGCCTTTCTTCCTAGTCCATCTTAGTCCGGAAGCTCCACGGAAACCTGTTCAGCATCATAGCAACACACAAGCCTCCGCTGACAGATGGGTGGTGGCTGCTCATGAGATGCATTGGGCCAAAATCGAACCTAGGTCTCCTGCACGGAAGGTGAGAATTCTACCACTGAACCACTGATGCCCCGCCAACTTTTATTTTTGGCTTGTATTACCCCTGCAGAAACAGCTTCAGTGTCTCGCCACAACCTAGAGGCCAAGTCCATCCATTCAGCAAACATTTACGGGGCATCTACTCTGCTAGCTGCTGGAAGGGCAGGGGCACACAATGAACCAGACACAGGCTCTGCCCGCAATGACAGTCCGTCCGTATACTGCGTGGGCCTGGCATTCACGGTTCTTGCCTGCCTCTGCTGCCCCACACCTCCCCCCCACTGCCCCCAACAGTCTGCCTCCACAGCCAGAGGCCTGCACTCCTGCTTCTGCTCGTTCAGGGAGGAGAGTCTCCTGTGTGCAGAGTACCCTGAGCGTGTGTCCCTGTCCCTGCCCATGAAGGCTTCCCTGCAGCCCTGTCCAGTCCTCTGAATGTTGTCACCCTCCTCATGTGTGCCATTCTGTGGCCTGCGATCCTCTACGGTCAGTGGAGGATCTGCTTTCTGTCCTGGGTGGATGGAGGGAGATACTGGCAGCTGCCTTTGCTGCCTCATGGGGTGACTTTCTGTCTCCCTCCCCGCTCCACCATCCCTTTTGCTAGTGTCGGGCTCTTTCAGTTTTTGCCACCGCGTGGAAGGTGGGCGCCTGACAGTGGTCTGCCCAATGGAGGCACCACTTTCACTCCAGGACGCCCAACCCGCCCTCTCCAAGGCAGCTCTCACTAGATTGCTTCTGGTGGGGAGGCACAGCTGTGGCTGAACGAAGTCTGGGGCAGACCCCTCTGCTCAGGGTTCTGAGCAAGAGCTGAGAAGCCTGTCAGCCCTCTCCCACTTGGGTCCAGAACACTGGGGTCGGTCCTCACAGGGAATTCCGTTCAGCCTCCCACAGTAAATGCTTCTGCCTATGGTTAAGCTGGGCACGTCCCTTTCTTTTAACCCAGAGGAACCCGACCAGCCGGACGGCACAGATTCCTGACATTTTTCTGGACATGTTACTTGTTTCACTACCTATTGCTGTGTAACAAACTACCCAGAATCTTAGTGACTTAAAACAACAGCGATGCTATTTGCTCTCAGTTCTGTGGATCAGGAATCTAAACAGGGCCCAATCTGGAACATCCCAGATGGCGCTTCCACTCCCCTGTGA